AGGCTCGGGTGGCGAGCTTAATCTCTTGCCTCAGCGGAAAACATTTCTGACCCATTTCTGCAACCATTTGGCTCCAGTAGGTTGAAATAATCTAAGCTGTCTTCTCATGGCATCTAATATGGGACAGTATACGGAAAGGAAATGTAAAGCTCCAGAAATAAAAAGGCGCCCACACAGTGTCTAGTCAAGCCACAGGTGGCTCTTACCAAATTCTTCTTCTCTCTCGGGGTTCTTGGCGTACGTAGCTTTGCTCACGCCCAGTAGGCTTCTAACTTCCGATCTGGAGGGCCAGTGTCCCAGGATTCGTTGGATTTCTTCGTTCCAAGTTAAAGACGCTCCAAAAACCTTACATGGAAATGGATTGACTTACAAAACCGAAAAGCCCGAGGGTTGCCATCTAGCTCCAGGGCAAAGCTAAATTCCAGGGACTCAAAGATGTTGGCTCGCTTCTCTCCTCCCGCCTCTCCATCCTGCCTCTTCTCTCCACTTCCTCCTCACTCATTTGTGCCTGCTTCCCTGGGCTTTCAGGCAGGTGAGGGCGAAAGGAAAGCACCAGGTGATGGTTTCTTCTCCTTTTCCTTGCGGCCACTGACCACCGTCCATTCCCCAGTGAAGAGAGCTGTCTCACTCTCCACGTGAGGCTCCCAAGCTGTTGAATGGTATCTTCTAGCTGTGAGTTAATTTACTGTTTTTGTTTTGTTTTGTTTGTTTTTGGTTTTTGTTTTGTTTGTGAGACAAAGTCTCACACTGTCGCCCAGGCTGGAGAGCAGTGGCGCCGACTGCTGTCTCAAAAAAAAAAAAAGAAAAAAAAAAGTATATAAAACCCTAGATCAACAACTAAGAAAATGCCAAAAATATACTTTAAAAAAATCATCATAGAAACGTAAATGCTACCTTAGAAAATATTCACTTAATGCAAAGGAAAGCAGTGAAGGAAGAACGAGGAATAGAAAAGATTTGAGACATAGAAAACAAAAAGTAAAATGGCAGCATAAATCTATACCAATAACATTAAATGTAAACGGATTAAACAATGTAATCAAAAGTAAGATTATTGTACTGGATAAAAAACAAGATTCAGCTGGCTGTGGTGGCTCACGCCTGTAATCCCAGCACTTTGGGAGGCTGAGGCAGGCGGATCATGCGGTCAGGAGATCGAGATCATCCTGGCTAACATGGTGAAAACCCGTCACTACTAAAAATACAAAAAATTAGCTGGTGTGGCCGGGCGCGGTGGCTCAAGCCTGTAATCCCAGCAC